GGGGATTGATCACGGCTCCTTTCTAACAATGTTGACCTTATCCAAATGGAGCCCAAGTCCTGTATCTATTGCGTGCATCGCTACTGCCGAGCTCCTTAGTAGAGCCATATATTCATGCTATATAAAAGGGACTGATTCCCCAGACTTTGGGAAATGTCGGAAATATGTTTCCTTGCTTTTCTATCCGTATACATAGTTGAATGTGGATTCAGCAGAGTGGTTTCTCTAGCAAGAAGTAGAAACAGATTGGACATCACAGCAAGAAGAGATATTCGACTCTCACGGTCAAATATGGAGCCGGACATAAGCAAGCTTGCTCAAGTTCATGAGGCTCAAGACTCGCATTAATATCCAGACAAACACATTTTTACAAAGTTACGAAGCCACCTAATTAATAACATGTCTTAAAGTTAAAAGGCAACTATAAGTTAATACAATTTTAAATAGTAATGACGCATTTTGTGTAACTACATACAAGCGGCTTGATGTTGTCTCAAAATGAATGTTACCTTGAGGCTATGAAAGTTAAAGTTTTATAAGGGGAATAGCAGTGATACCAACATTAAAAGTTTAGCCATGATAACAAGATACTAATATGGCAACTGGCCATCACAGCCGTGCGTTTGTTAGGTGTAGCGCATTGCTGAAATTGTAGTGATCAAGGGTGGGGGTCCATAAGAAATGGAAAGGTTGCAAAGGAGACTATGGCTGAATAAAGGTTGAGAATGCCTGCTCTATATTACTGTATTCTTCACTCATTTTCAAGCAGTTACCTCTGAACTTGGTGTTGTGTCTGAGTTTCAGCGAATGAGGGACGCCTCTGATGGAATTCCGGACAATAACTGATTCACCCCAGAAGAAAGACACGTTTATTTCATACCATATTTTAGGGAACGAGGTCAGCTGACTAGTGCTCCCTACATCCCTGTGCTTGGACAGCTCCAGAAGAATGCACTCTGGACCGGGAGGCTTGAAGCGTTTCAAGTGTCTCATATCAAGACAAACTTTCGATTTGGTGGGTTGATACAATAGGAGGGTCCAAGGTAGGCAGTTTGGCGTACTGTGTCCACCGATGCACTGCGTGCCGCAGTTGAACTGCGAATAAGAATGATCAGCCCAGCGTTTCAAGTGGCGCGGTTGGTTATTGATCCGGGGCCTACCCACCTCACAACTAGCATCACTGATACCAGACCTCCTTTGGCCGGTGAACATTGTAAGTGGAATAAACTTACGCACTTTACCAGAGGGCAGCGGTCTCCATCTGCGAAGCAGGCTGAGACCACCATGCTTTGCGGTCAATACGCTGTCCTTGCCCGAGCTACCATTTGACAGTGCCATGTCGTCCACTGTAATTTGATTCTGACTGAATATTTTTTGTGGCTATCGAACAGCTCCAGTGGACCAGAACAGATATTTGCAACTGACATAGTTTTTCAGGGTAGCTCGGTGTGTCGTAGCGGATTGCACACGTATAAATCTGCGGTGAAGTTGATGTATCAGATCACCCGGTAGATCACTAACCTAATCATATCAATCTTGCGAAGATTGTTTTACAGGTACCCACCGAACGCATGCGGATTTTGCATCATCCTCCTCCTCAGTATCAGCATCAGCATCAACAATACATATCAGCTGAATTTGTGAAACCCGCTTCAGCTCATGTGCCGCAATAAAAATCGATACAATACACGAAAAACGAGCTAAAACACATGATAGCGTACAGTACAAACAAACAAAAAGCATTTTGCTTAATGTCTTAGTACTCAGCAGGTGCGACAACGTCAATGGAGGGGGTAGAAAAGCAGAAAAGGGAGGGGTAAAGAAAAGCACAACACGAAGGTCATTGAAAACAACCCATCATCAAACCAACAAGCGCACATAAGCAGAAACGTACATCGTCCTTCGAACCCAATCCTGCCAGTCAACAGACTCCAATCAAGGTCAAATTCGCAGTGAAGGACTTCATTCCATTAGACCAAGTAATCGTTTGGCCTCCCTTTCTACTTTTCCTTCCACACCCCAGGAGCGCTGACAGCGCACGTTGGGGGAGTCAGTGTGCTGACCTGATCAATACATGGCCCCGTCAGCGAACTCTGATGCGTCTTATACCGGTGCGGAGCGATTCACTCCCTCTACCTGCACCACATACGCAAAGCCGAACTCGCTCATTGTTAACGCGATGTCCCTACCAGACATGAGCTGAACTACGAAGGCAATGATGGTCAAACGTAGCATGCCCCTTTATGTCTGTCTGTTTGATAGGTCAAGTTTCGCAATCGTACATGGGGGTGGAATGGAAGACGGCATTATGCACTCTGCCCTTAAGAGGGAGAATGACGTCGTGTCAAGGCCACAGGTGGCGGAGTTTCGTACAAAAGGGTACATGATCTACCATGGTTAGGAGGAAGATTACTGGACGTATATTTTTGTAATTAAGTGAGGTTCTTCGCAGTCAGTTTCCAAATCACATAGTCGTCCACATGCCCGGAAAAGCACTAGACTGCAGTTTCAGCCTGTTGGGCATCATCAGTAGTGCGCATCCATCGGATCCATCAGGATTCGAAACCATGACCACCAACGGCTTGAACCGCCAGTCAGCAGCTTATACCACTGGGCCACGGGGGACAGCTTCGGACCGTCGTGATTTACAAGCTAACTGCGATATAGCGCGTCTTATCCTTCACTGCCATGCAAGTTACGAACGTTGCAGAGGACAGGGTTGGCCCCGAAAGACACGACGTCCACTAACAGTACCTATGTACGACATAGCATTTAGAAACTGTCAGGGCAGGTATATTTCGATGTACTCATGAGTAGGGGATTTTTGATGTAATTAAGTGAGGTTCTTCGCAGTCAGTTTCCAAATCACATAGTCGTCCACATGCCCGGAAAAGCACTAGACTGCAGTTTCAGCCTGTTGGGCATCATCAGTAGTGCGCATCCATCGGATCCATCAGGATTCGAAACCATGACCACCAACGGCTTGAACCGCCAGTCAGCAGCTTATGCCACTGGGCCACGGGGGACAGCTTCGGACCGTCGTGATTTACAAGCTATTCTTAGTCATCAACTTTCGCCTGGCTGTCGTCTCCCCCTTGACATTTGGTTAAAAGTCGCATTTCTTTGCCATCATTGGCCAGCATCCGTCGTTTGCAATTGATGTTACCTCGAGGTCCCATTTCAACTAATACTGTTTCTACGGACACACGTATTTAGCTCTTACTTTTATCACCTCGTATTCGCCTGCCTCATTCAGCATCTCCTGTGTTGTTGGTTGGCGCGATGTGTTTTATTAGCTTTGCTTCACGCACTAATGTACCCTAGATACGGAAGTGGCGTTCTCATGAATATAACTTGGTTCTGGCTCTTCTTCGTGTTCTCTCTATGGCAGTGGGGTGTGAACGGTCGGCGGCAACGTAACAGCTGTCCAGTACGCTGTCCCGCCAACTAAAGCTTATTTCACTATAATCAAGTTGAGACCATATCTATGTTAGTGAAGTGTGATTCCCAATTGCTGGAAATTCCTTTGTATGCCTGAAATTGGTGCTCGAAGGAAACAGCTGTTTGTTTGCACACAACTTGATAATCCAATCTCCTTTGTCTGAACTACCCTCTTCGGGAGCCTGCTTCGCTATTCTCCTCGACGGATGTCGGGTCGTATACCCGAGATACTTTACGCTGCAGATGCAGGAGCAAACATATAGAACGGATGACTCGGAGCAAACCAGAAATCCGTCGGTAAAGCAGTGCGTAGCATGATGACCGGTTTCCTCAAGAACATGAAGCCTACCTACTGGAAATGCTTGACCAGCTGCGTTCATCTCTCCCTAGGAGATGTAAATTGATGCATCCGTCTTAGATTAACGCAGCTTACAGGGTGATGTGCTGATGGTGGACTATGGCTTGATCGTTTATAAGAGCGGTACAGCACCTATTGTTTTTAGTATCTTGCGACTGAGGTACGATTCGGCTTCCAACGGTTCTTGGCTATGAATTTTTGTGACGCAATAGTAAAAAGGCACCAGCAGTACGCCGGCACACCATACCGATGCTTCGCTGCCACGAGATCATCAACAGTCGCGCTTGCGCTGAATATACTGCGAGATCATCTGCATCTATGCGGATTCCACCAGTGAACCCCGGATTACAATCAAGTCTGTATCCATTTAGACACCGGTCGACGACCTGACCATACAGACAATGCATGCTGTTGGTGCACGTCTTGAATTTAGACTAAAAATGTGCATATATCACTACTACCCAAGTGGCCTTTTTAGGCTATCCGACTTGTACTTTTTCAATGGGCTCAAGTTGCGGATGAAAAGCAAAAGCAGCCCATCAATCTTACAAATTTCAGTCAGCTTTTTTGATGTATGACGCTATACTTATAGGGGCGGAATCCATGTTTCTTTCCACACCTGTGTGTAAGCACAACTACTATTCTAAAGCGTACTGGAGAGATACGAAGCAATCCAAACAACAGACCTCTGAAACGGGATGGCTGCAATCTTCTGGGAGGTATTCAGTCAGAATTGTCTGAGTTAAATCTGCTTTTCGCAGTAACAGCTTCCAGAGAGGGAGACAACTCGGAGCAAACAAGCGGGGCACGTTAACAGTTCAGCGTACGATGGGTGCAGCAAGGACAGCATATTCACCAAACCACTGAAACCGCAAGAATCAAGCAGACCTGAATGGAGGTTTCCACCGCACCTAATGACACAACTGTTGGCTGTTGGGTTTCTACCGGGGGACAGTGCAATGCAATCCATTGAAGTACAATAACTGCTTGGGCTAACGCAGTCAGCTGTCACTTCTTTTGCAATTGTTTTCTTTCGGTTGGTGTTTCGTGACAGAGCAGACAGATTTATGTTCCCTAAAGTGCAGTTTCAGAATAGTAACTTTGCTCTGGAGGTTTTATGCTAATAACGAAATATAATAGCCATCTGGTATATCCAGGGATCTGCGAATGTATCAGATCCCGTTACTCTCCTTCGCTCTGTAGCAATGCGGTTTGACATGTGACAATCAATAACAATATTCAAATTCCTCCCCTGCATTATATCTCATACGCAACCGAGTACCAGACCGACGTTACCCCATTAACCTTTTCTCCATAATGCGAGAAATTGTGCACGTACAAATTGGACAATGTGGTAATCAGATGGGCTCCAAAGTAAGCAAGTATTCTAAATTGGGCCTCGAATTTGAGCCCATTCTCATTAGTTTTGGGAAGTGATCTCGGACGAACACGGTATTACTAACGAGGGACTATACAAAGGGGATTCCGACTTGCAACTGGAACGCATATGCGTTTATTACAATGAAGCCATCGGTGAGTAGATGTCTTTTCTCAATGAATACTACGCTGGTTACTTCCTTCAGCGTCGCTCACCATTTCCCGGTTGACGCGGTTTCTGAGCTATGCCTTTTAAGTGGTTGCGTGATAAGCAACACAACAGCGCTGCCTGTATGCCTAGACACAATGCAGAAATTCCCTATTTGCTTAACGAGATCCACGAGAATTTAACTGAAAGGACGAAGATTTTCATGAGCATCCCACAGAATAGTAGTTAGTATATCAGCTGGCTCGCAATAAGTTATTTAGTAAGTTGAGGAAGCAGCCCCTCCTATCCACCTCGGAGTTCCTTCGGATTCGTCCATGATGCGTACAGTTTATCGCACGGATGTCACTAGCTGAAGTGATGAAACAAGCCAAGCGCAGGTTTCGGTCACATCAGCCTTGACTCCGGGCTAGTGCAGTTTGTTACGTAGTACAATGAATTAAGAGTTTTAGACGTTTCCAAACGTAAACCTGTGTAAGCTTTGACCGGCTTAACTAATCAATTTTCCCCATTAGGGTCAAACGTTTACTGGTTAATCGATCTGGTTAAACAGCTCGAAAACTCGGTATCAGTGGCCTTTTGAAGTCGTGTACTGGCGGTGTTGGGTAACTTTTAGTGTAAAAATTAAATATAGGGAGGTTTAATAGAATTGCACCTAAAGCCGTAGTAGTAGTAGTAGTAGTAGTAGTAGTAGTAGTAGTAGTAGTAGTAGTAGTAGTAGTCGTAGTAGTAGTAGTCGTAGTAGTAGTAGTAGTAGAAGTAGTAGTAGTAGTAGTAGTAGTAGTAGTAGTAGTAGTAGTAGTAGTAGAAGCAGAAACGGTCCAGTAAATAGACGTAGAGCTAGAAAAGACCATGGAATCCAGAGGATAACAGGTGGAGTTGCCGTAGCACCATCATTATAGCACAGTAGTTGAAGGTGGGCAACGAACTTCAGCTGTTTTGCTCCAATAAAGAAAAACGGAAAATTGTTCATCATTTTTTCACACGCCATTTATCGTTTCATATCCTTTTAATGGTTAAGCGTTAAACATCTGAATCAAAGCAAGAAGTGTCCAGATATTTCACTGGTTTCAGTTGCACACCATATTCTGAATTGTTGCCGGCCATGCGCAATAATGGTTATTAAGTACGCAACCAAGCAGGCAGGTGGATCCACTGACAGCAAGACGTGAAGTCATTGATTTCATATGTTGTCGCCAGGTGGATATTTGACCGTTATATGGTTTCCTTTAATCGAGTCCTGCATGAGCAAACAGAGCTGGACAGGACAAGTGCTCAGCTGACAGACGCAGTACGTGGCTAACTTAACTTAAGTGCCGTAATAAAAAATAAATAAATAAATAACCGTATAGTTCTCTACATGAGATACACAGGCAAAATGCCAGCCTGACCACTGCAACAACAAAATTGGACGGTAGAGGGATTTTTCAAGTTCTGCTAGGTTCTCATTAAAGTGATTGAGGTGTTCAATCATTTAAAAGTGGTACAATATGGTGAATTTGAGAGTAGGAATAAGAGTTGTTCTAACCGTCAGGTCAAGTAAAGTAACACGACCCTTCATAGGACCGTGTCCCGGAGAGCTGCTTTCACACTTCACATAAACATCACATCTGGCAATGTGCTGTTGTGGCCTAATGCAAGTAGCTAATGTAAGCTTTGACTGGTTTATTCTTGTTGGCCGCTGTCATATGCCATTTTGTGATCATCAACATCATCATTATTCACGTCAGCTAGGTGTGGGAAACATCTCAGCTATTGAGCCTCAATACATAGAAAAAAAGAAGAAAAAATGCAACTAGTGTAACCTGGCTGAGCTACCGGTAACGGACGGGCATCGTTCCGGTAAGCTTCCAGTCGGCTACTATGCAACAAAAAAGTATTATGCGAAATCATATCAAGCTAAATAATGAGATCGTAGTTGGAGGAGGAGGCTAAGAGGGATGGGAGGGACAAAGAAACTCACAGCATGAACGCCACTCAGGTCGGCTCCTTGCCATGTCAGCAAGTGTACCTAGCCAAATGTGTTCATCGTCTTTCTGACCCCAACCAAGGAGCCGAAAATCTCCAACCGAGGCCAGCTCTGAAGTGAGGGCCTTCATTCCTCTCGACCAAGTCATCGCTTGGCCACCTCTCCTCTTCTTTCATCCACATCCACGGCGCGCAAACAACGCACGTCGCGGGAGTCGGTGGGCTGGCATGGGGAACACGTGGCCCAGCCATCGGAGCCTGGTTCATGAAATAAAGGTGCTGAGCGATTCATTTCCCTTTCCTGTGTTCCGTAAACAAGGCGTCGAACACACTCGTTACTCACGCGGTGTTCCCACCAGATGCGAGTCAAATTGCGAAGGCACCGTTGGTCGAACGTAACTAGCCTCTTCAGGTCCGCTGATCTAAGGGGCCAGGTGTCACAACCGTACAGTAGGGTCGAACGTACCGCTGCACTGTACACTCTACCCTTCAGGGCAAGTGTGAAGTCGCGCCGGCGCCGTAATTAGCGAAGGTTAGCTATACGATTCGTGATCTTATCTTCAATCCCACGGGCACTGATACAACTCCCGTGGTAGTTGAATTTTTGAACGACTTCTAGCTGATCCCCACCAAGAGTCAGCGTGGGAGACGGTCCAGGCCAATCATAGAAGACCACATTGCACTTCGAGGGTGCAAAGCTAAGCCCGAAGTGACGGACAGCCAGTGCTAGTCTGTCCACTGCCGCTTGGCATGTTTGTGTGCTGTCACAGATTAGAGCAATATCATCAGCATACTCTAAGTCAAGAAGTCGTTCTCCTGGGAGCAGATCCACACCTTCTAAGTCGTGTCCTGTAAACGCGATTTCCATGACTTAATCAATAGCGAAGCTGAAGAGGAAAGATGGCAACGGGCATCCTTGTCTCACACCGTTGGAGATATTGAAGGGCGACGACAGCTTGCCGTAAGCTCTCACTCTGCCCGAGCTACGCGCATATAATGCTCGGATAATATTCACATATTTCTCAGGTACACCTTTCCTGGGTAGACAGTACCAAAGTGCACGTCTATCCACCGAATCGAATGCACCTTTGATATCGAGGAATACGACAACGGTGGGCAGCCAATATATGTGACGGTGCTCCAACAACTGATGTAAAGTGTCATATGTGGTCAATGCAGCCACGACCTCGACAAAACGCGGCTTGCTCTTCACGAATCTGGATTTCACGGGTGCCAGTCAGTCTGTGAAGGATGACAGAGGCAAGCAATTTGGAGGCGATGGAGATCAGACTGATTCCTCTATGGTTGTCGCATTCTAATCGTGCGCCTCCCTTGAAAATTGAAACTATGACGGAGCGGCTCCAATCGGTTGGGACAGTTTTCTGCTCCCACAGTTTCACTAGTAATTCGTGTAAATCATCCACAAGAACAGGTCCCTCGAATTTGAAGAAAGCTGGAGGAAGATCATCTGATCCCGCGGCTTCGTTCAACTTCAATAGTTCAATCTCACGTTTGAGTTCTGAGAAAGAGGGTGGATCCAAAGGACAGCCCAAGGAGCGGAGCGATCACTGGCCGGCGAGGAATCGAACAATTAAGGCCGATTAAATTGCTTTTCAAAATGCTCAGTCCAACGCTGTAAAAGTTTTGACAAATTGTGTATAGGCTGTCCACTCTCGTCACGTATAGTTTCACTAACACCAGGTCTCCTGCTGCCCGTTTCCCGTATCAGCCGAAATAACTTACGATGGTTACCAAGGGCAGCGGCCACTTCCATCTCTGATGCACGAAGAGACCATCAGGATTTGCGGTCTCTCTTCAGGCTAGCACGGAGTATTGCCCGGAGTTCTTTGCGAGTTTCATTATGTTCGCTTCCAGCTGGAATGTGTCAGCGAGCATCGATCATTTCCAGAGACTGCGAAGAGACCCGATGTCCATGTTGGCTATTAGACTTAGCGCTTGAGGATTTGCCTACTGCTAGTAAGGTCTGGTGAATATGAGACCAGTGAGCTTCAATTGCATCCAGTGAGCTTTTATCCAACTCGCATGACAGCGTACTTTGATAGGCTTTCATAACAGCTGGCTTTGTCAGTTGGCTGGTGTCGACGCGCTCACCATGTCGTCTTGGGCTTCCGCCAAAGCGCCTCCGTGTGTCAGCACATACAAGTGCATGATCGGTGTCCACACATGTGCTCCAAATCGAGCGACAGTTCTGGACGCAGCCTCTCCAGCGGTAACTTATCGCAATGTGATCGATTTGCGTCCAATAGCTGGTTCGTGGCTGGTGGGCGCCAAGTCACCCTCGGGCGGGTGCTGTGTCGGAAATTAGTGCTCGCAAGAAATAAGCGAGCTTCCTCACACAAATGAATTAACGGCTCGCCGTTATCATTACGTAAGCCTACACCGTGCTGACCGCCCAGATACATTTCATCAGTGGACAACTTTCTAACTTGTGTCTTCAGATCCCCCGCCAGCGCAACAGTGTCCGTGCTTCTTCTGTGGCGAAGGAGCTCGTTCTGTTGACGATAGAAGTCGTTTTTTACCGACTCATCGCCAGCGTTTGTGGGCGCGTAGGCAGCGATGATGAATAGACACCTGTTTGTCCCTCGCGACTTCGAAGCTTTGAACGAGCCAGCCAACCGGACCGCACACATCCGGCTAGTGATTGGAATCCAACCAACCAGAGCAGCTTCAGCCCGGGGACTCAGGGCAATGTCAACACAAACTTGGCCGTTGCTCGAATCTGCATAGTCACCGGATGGGCGCAATGAGAAAATACTGCTTGTGTCACCTGAAGGGGAACGCAGAGTGCGCACAGAGCTCGAGTCTTGCAGGCGGGTCTCCGATGAGCAGCAGATATCGATGGAGAGGGTCCCTAATGTTCGGACAAGTGCCGTCTGTTGACCGATCTGTAGTAATGTGCGAACATTGAGGCATGCCAATATGAAGGAGGATCGAAGGCTCCACATGGAAATCGGTGTACTGAAATGGACCGCTTGGTTAGAAATGGGCTTGTCGACAGGAC